AAGTGTTTGTCCTTCCACAGCCCACACTGACCACACTACCCACATCTGCACCAGTGTAGCTATAGCACAAGCAATAGTTGAAGACTTCTGGTTAGTTTCCTCTGGTTGTGACTCTTGTGAAAACACAGATGTTGCCTCCATGACACACAACTGCCCATCTCTGATCTAGACCTGTTTTAGCTTTTTAATTAATTGAAGCTGAAATTCACTTTTTTTTTCAGGGTCAACGAGCTGTCTTTGCCTTTGGACGACCCAAACAGCCTGGAAGACGACATGGGGGTCGTGCTGGTGGACATGACTCTGTCACTCAGAAATGGAGACAGCAAAAAAGGCCCTGTATGACAAGCTCCCACATATATATATACTGCATGTTGTCTGGCAGTAGAGATAGTTGTAATGCATCGCATTTATTACACATTTATGTTTTAAGCCATGTTTCTGTCTATGTCTTACTAACCTCAGTGTCTTTTTGTTTTGCACCTAACATGCATGCTCCTGTTGGCAGCGGTGGCCCCAAATACGAAAACGAAGTATTAGGGTAAGGCACAATGGAGGGAACACACTTAACAGACTTTAAGTAATATTTACTTTGGTTCGCATTCTACAGATATACAGAAATATAGAGCTTCTAAATAAATAATGAGTCACTGTTAACATCCAATCATCTGCAGGGTATGACCTCCTTCGACAGAGTTCAGAGTAGTTCAACTGGTACCACAAGGTGCAGTGATGCAGATCTGGTGTCTCTTGGTTGACCAACATTTTATAAAGACTGTTATTTTGGCAGTTACCTGTACTCAAGATGATCTGAATATGTCGGTCTTTTTGCACAAGAGGGCAGCAAATCACCACATTCCTTGAAAAGGAGAAGTCTTTTGTAACAAATACAAGCTGACAAATGTATGTGGTGTAATTATTAATTCTAAAATAGCTACTCTAAGAGTCATTAACACTCAGTGAGGTATACCTACCTTATACTGACTTTTTGACTGCAGCATAACGTTTTTTGACTATTCATTTAACAAAGACATTTTTTTCCTTTATAGCAACTCAATACATAGCTGGAGTTCTTGGATGTTTGGAGTCACCCCCTACAAAACACTGCTGAGCTTAGCAACAGTATTTCTGGCCCGACTGTTTACTTACAGGATGAGTCTGCTGATATTCTGTATTTTTCTTATGGTCAAGGAATCCCATGAAATCGTACTAACTAGTTTCTTCTGTGTATCAAAAGCTTATTCCTCTGTGCCATGGAGCTCTCTTCTTGTCTAAAAACTACAAACACAATGAACATGGGAACTGTAGTTTATTTTGTAGTGTAGAATTGATCCCACATACACTGTCCTGCTGACACAATTACCCCTTTTAATAGGAGACAAATTATCCCATTGTAATCCATTGGATAATAATAAATGCTAAAAAAGAGGAGCTCAGTAATGTCAGCTACATCTAAAATTAGCTAACATTAGCCACCATAAGATACTGGTCGATAGTAAGTGTATACAATTAAGCAGGATGTGTTTTATGCATATTGACTTCTCATTTCAAGAATAAGAATGTGTTATTTATTATTTATGTCTTATTTTTCAAAGGTTACATAGTGTCTCTGTAAATAAATAAAACAAAATACTTTATTTGTGAACCCATTTTTTAAAGCTTTATGTTTATGTTTATGTGCACAGCAGTATTGAGAGCCAACACGTTTCTGCATTTGTTTAGTTTTTCATGGGATTTGTTGACAGTTAAAAAACAGCTGCTGACTGCATGCTTTTTTTGCTTATGCCATTTTCTGTTAGTACACTCTGTCCTCTGTAGTGCATGGATGTATGAATCTGAGTGGGGCAGCTTTTTCTGAGATGCTTGAACCAACACATCTGGCATCTTGGCTCATACCTTGCGTTAGTCGAGAAACATTTCACCAATGCTGCAGCCACGTGATTCGGTGGTTGGAAGTTGTTTGCTTTACTGAACAGGTATACTTAATAAAGTGGCCCGCTGAGTGCACGTTCCACTGCTACTTCAGATACTTATCATACTCTGCCAAGTGCATTCAGTGTGGTCTGTTCATTGAAACATGATTTTCTGCCCATACATGTGGCAGGGTATTCAGACAGGACATCAGTATCAGCTTGATCTACATTAATTGAATCTGGCTTAAATATATCTCTCTACTGGCTGAGTCTCCATGTAAGCTCAGCTATTTATCTTATATCGCTCCCCATTATATATGGAAGAGAGGCACTGCTATGCATTGTGGCTACAGCAGGCTTTACCTAATCTTTTACCGAAATGAAATGAACATTTCATTCTCTTTTCACTAGAGAAGAGAGATAATGCTGTCTCATTCAGCTGCCTTCCAACAGAGCTTGTTGTAATGTCCAAAGCAAAGCTCTGATATGCAGCCTGTTGCCATCTGATTTAAGCTTTATATAGTTTATTTCAAGGTAGAATTCATTTGCCTTTCTTAGCTTGAAGTATTAGATATCCTGATATTGCATGCAAGTGTTCTATTTGTATTCCGAATCTCTTTTTTTTCCTCCTCCTTCCACCTCGTTCCCCTTCTCTCCTTTGTTTTCAAATCCCTCTCCTGCAGTCAGGAGGCACTTCTCAGAGCTTTCGTCTGTCAGAGACACTGAAGAAGAGTCAGCTGTGGACTTCGGTTGTGTCAGTGACTCTGGTCGAGGGTCAGGAGCTGCCGCTGGACGGTCAGGGAGGTCAGCTCTTTGTTCGCTTCAAACTGGGAGAGCAGAGATACAAAAGCAAGGTACTGGTTGGAGGACAAATCCTTTTCATCTCCTCATACTCTCCACCTCCCCTCCTTTTGTTATTCTTAATACTTCTCTATCCCCCCCAACCCCGTACTCTTTTCTTCTTCTCCACACTCTCCTTTCTTTGCTCTTTTTCTCTTCTTCTTCTCCTCCAGTCATAAACACTTTTCTTCATTATTTCACCTCTCCATCCTTAATCTTTTCATTTCCTTTGTCTTTTCACAAGTGTCTTGCGAATTTAGCAAAATATTGGAAATGTTTATTTTGTATGTATTTTGTTGTGGTATTTTTATCTTGAGACTGCCGTTATAAATACAGTAATGTATTTTATGCAGCACAAATACTATATATATTTAAAGTCCAGGTGAAATGAACATCAGAGTGCCATTTGCTTTTGCACAGTGACGTATTTCCTGTAAAAACAGCTAGGGTGGGACTACGAGTTGAAGATTGATTGACAGGTGAATGTCATGATATTATTGGTTGAAATCGGTTAGTTTATGCTTACATAACCATGCTTGACATTTTGTTATACAGGAAGACAAAATTATTGGATTTTGATTAAAAAAAATACAAAGTTTTGTACTAATTTTTTGGCCTACATTGTTAAATAGGAGTACAATGTAACAGGATGCAATCTTAAAGGGTTAACATAACTTTTTTAATTTCACTTGGACTTAGAGCGCCTTAATACTCTTATAATCTCTAATGTGATCACAGATCATGCAAAAGAGAAGTTCTGGGAAAAGCTAAAATGGATTTTTGGTGTGTGACGTGAGATGCGTGAGCTCTAATCACTGCTCCTCCTGGCAGCTGGATATTGTCGAGCAGTCATGCTCACTTTCTTGCTGGCTCTGTAGCTACTGTCACTGATGATTATCTCGGATTTCTGCAACATCTTCCATTACTCTTCAAAGCTGCATGCCATTGAGCAGCATTGCTCCTTTTCTTTTCTCATAGGCAGGTTAAAGTCACAGTGATTACTTTTTATGCCTTTATGTGCGATGGTAATTTCTGATGCTGATTTCTGAAGCTGCTTAACCAACAAAACTTTCAGACAGTAGCAGCGCACGCATACCTCCATGATTAGTTAAACCTTGCAGTGTCAGAGTTGTGTGGCCGAGTTTAAGTCAACAATAAACAGTCAACAAAAATAATCTTTTTATTAGGAATAAACCTACCTCTTGCCTGAACTGTCCGTAGCTGCATAGGGTTGGCGACTTGAAGAGTCTAATACTTTCTGAGGTGGTACGTAGTGTAAAAATGTAGATAACAACAAACATGTTATAAAAATGAATGTTTTCTGACATTTCACACGTTTACAGAATGTAGAATAAATTAATTACCACTGTAACTAACGTGGAAATTTGGGCATAATGTTTTCTGAACTTGACTTTGCTACTCTCAGCGTTCAATGTACATGCACATGAATTTCTCTTTTCTTATACTTAATGTTCTAAACTCATTTCTGATTCAGAATCACTGCAAGGTGCCCAACCCTCAGTGGAGAGAGAGGTTCACTTTAAACCAGTTCTTGGACAGTCCAAATATCCTGGAGGTGGAGCTCTGGTCCAAGGGAGGACGAAAGACTGAGGAGTGTTTGGGAATGTGAGTCTGCATTCAGATCCTGTGTGTATGTGTGTGTATATACTTGCACACCTGAACCCTGTGAACAGAAAAAAACTGATTTGACATTTCCAGAGGAGCTGCCTTGTTTTCCACTTAATAATTTGTAAGCAAAGATCAATTGTAACCAGGTGAGCGGTGTGTTTGTCAGGTGAAGAAACCATTCCTGTTAGTGTCTCAGTGAATGGTTCGGTGTTTAGCCTTCATCCCAAGTAGATGCCTACTGAGCCTTAGCATACAGCAACGACAAAAATATAGGCTGCCACTGTTAGAATTGGATATGTACAGGTAAGGCATGCATGACTGTGTGTATGTATATGTGTGTGCCAGCATTTGCATACAGTTGGTGAAGGCCTGTGTATATGTGTGTGTACAGGTGTGAAGTTGACCTGTCCAGGGTCCCTTACGATCAGAGGCAGCTGTTCACGCAGACCATGGACCAGGGGAGAGGACGCTTGGTCTTCATACTTACACTGAATACATGCAGCCACGTCTCCATCTCCGACCTCTGTGTCGCACCACTCGACCAACCTCACGAGCAACAGAACCAACTGGACAACTATGTCAGTCCCCGTGCTACCAATACTTCTATCTGTACTGTATGGTTGCATCACTTCCAGTTGTATCAATACATCTGACACTTTGTTTGTTGTCAGTAAAATCTCAGTTTTTCTCTAGAGAGAATCTGGGTCAGTGTGAGTTTTTTTTATTTTTTTTTTATTAAAGCAAGGATGAGCCCATTACAAAAGGCGAAGAGTGAAGAGAAAGGAATGTGTGGTAGTCTCAGTCACTATAAAGTGAACATTCAGTTGAAGATTTGAGTCAGTTTTTGGTTAGTTAAATCCAAAATGAAACGAAGACTCTTGCACTATTGTGATGGAAGGTCAATAGATGGCAGTATCTGCCTTGTAATAACACTCAGTAATAAAAATTTCTGCTGAAGAAAAAAAAGTCCAACATGAACCCTTCTGGTAAGCCATACTTGATTATTTACAGATGAGGGGGGAATATTTGACCTGCAGTGTCCTGCAAGTGTCCTGCATCATGTGATGCCCAGCCCATATGGGCTTACAAAACACTAAACGGCAACAACAGTCAGGATGGCCACATGACAAATCACAATGTACAGTTCCACAAATTCAAAGAGAGAACATGTCATAAAATTGAATTTCCTTAACAGAAACGTCTTATTATGTTGGATACAGTGCTCTCTGTCACAAATTACCATGCATTTTCTATAAATCCTGCTAAGACAAAAATGTCCTTATTCAAGAGGTGACTCAACATTTCACGTTCAGATAACCAAAACAAATCAGGGTGCTTCGACTGGATTTTTAATTTTTTTTTTTAATTCAGCCTCAACGACACCAAGATCACATAAAACACATAAACGCTGTTCATCAGGATTGCCTTTATATCTGCCTACCTCAAACTGCCAGTGGTAGGGTACCAGTACTAAACTCAGCACACAGGGTCCTCTACCCTCTTTAAATTAAATATTGATTTGTATCAATATATTTAGGACTGTGCTGGAGATGCTGTCCCTATACAATTTGTCTTAAAAATTAAAAGCTGCACTTTAAGTGTAATGCCTACTTTTTTATGTTGTAGTTGTATTAACTAAAAATCACGCAATTGCACGCTATTGCAATTTCCCAAAGCATAACATACATTTTTAGATGTTATATCTTATCTTATATCAGGAACAAATATTTTAAACTGCGTTTTGGATCCCAGATTTTTTTTTCAAGGATTATTTAATACTGTGAGATAGTACATGATTGACCATGATTGAGGACTGTGCATTCTTGATGGCAGTAGGTGCTCTCTGGGTGTTTTCTAATTTAAATGTTTCTAAACCCTCATGTTTCCTGTCTGCTTACTGTCCCCCCCCAGAGTTTGAAAAGGTCCCTGAAAAACCTCCGTGATGTCGGTTTCCTTCAAGTCAAAGTCATCAAGGCTGCGGAACTGCTGGCTGCTGATTTAAATGGTGCGTCACACATTTGGATTCACATTCTTTTTTTTCTTCTGTTTTTACATCTAAAGGGACAGAGAAAGCTCAGTGTGTAAATGTTTTTTGTTGTGTTCTGCAGGCAAGAGTGATCCCTTCTGTGTGTTGGAACTGGGGAATGACAGACTGCAGACCCACACAGTCTACAAGAGCCTCCACCCAGAGTGGAATAAAGTCTTCACATTGTCAGTTTAAGTCTCTTTTTTTGCTCATTAATTCTACATAATGTATGTAAAACCTCATGTATGCTGTATGCTTGTGACAAGTTGAAAAGACTGGGACATACTGCTGTTATGTGGAGTGCCTGACCTCCTTGTTTGTCTCTGCAGCCCTGTCAAAGACATTCATGAGGTTCTGGTGGTGACTATCTTTGATGAGGATGGAGACAAGGCGCCAGACTTCCTCGGAAAAGTTGCCATTCCCCTGCTCTCGGTACACACTACTTCACCAAGAGTCCGTCATGCAGACAATAGACTAATCTATTTACACTCTGTGTCTAAATTAAAGTGAAGAGGGCGATAACAGTCCAGCGGGTTGAAGAGTTGCTAAGATGTAATCCAGCATGACTGATGGTCAGGTTTGTGGCTGAGTTCGACACCTGATGCCCTTTCTGTCCTGCAGATCCGCAGGGGACAACAGATCACCTACCCGCTGAAGAAAGAGGACTTAGGTGGGCTGTCGAAGGGGAGCATCACTCTGGACCTGGAGGTTATTTTTAACCCTGTAAGTAAAAGTTCATCCTGAAAAGAGGACATAAGTGCATGATGGCTATGGAAGATGGGCCTGATTCTGTCTGTTTCTCACAGCTTCATTTGTTTTCATCAGGTCAGAGCAAGTATAAGAACCTTCCAACCCCGGGAGAGAATATTCATGGAGGATAATCCCAAATTTTCCAAAAAGGTTTGCCACAGCTCTGATTCATTTACTGTATAATCTGGGGTTTGGGAATCCATATTTTGCATTATTTTCAGTTAAAAAAAATAAATTGTAACACACATGGTACATGAGATTTTAATTGTAGTTGACTTTTTATTCATCCAGAGCAGCATACACGTACATGTGAAGGATAGAATACCCTTCAACTCAATTAGTGCTGAATAATAGTCAATAATTGATTTAGTTCATTCATAGACCGAAAATTTATTAGCAGATTTTCTGTTTTACATTTCTTATGTGATAGCAAACTGAATATCTTCGGGTTTTAGATTGTTGGTAGGACAAAACAACGGATTTGAAGGTATTGAATCTTATGAAATTGTGGAATTGTAAAAAAAAAAAAATGTAAATAAAAAAATTGGCATTTTAAAGACCAAACAATGAATTACTTATTCAAAAACATGATTTGAAGATTAAACAATAATGAAAATTATAGCTGGTTGCAGGCCTAAACGCAGTAACAGTAAACGTTTCAAACAACCAGCAGTAAAGAGGGCAAGGGTCAGAGGTCACTGAGCTTTTGACAATATTACTGTGATGCTTGGATGATTAAAATAAAAGAAGAAAAATAGGAGCAAAGAGAAAACATGAGAATACAAGTTGCACAAATGTTACCATGTTTACTATCAATTTGCTCTTTATGAACTGAACATGAACAATTTTTACTTTGCTTTTGTCTACAAAACAAAGGCTGCGAAAGCAAAGACTTTCCTTTGCCTGAATTAGTTGAATTGCGCGTTAATTGACCCCAACTGTGACTGAGTTCTTGTCCACTGTTCTGTTACATTAGTTTGATATACAGTGTGCAAGACAGGGTGCGAGACAGGGTGCCTGACTGTCTGTACTTCCCACAAAGACTCATTGTTGTCAGACAATACATTGCTCACTAACGCCAAAAAATTGGCTTACACACTGAGGACTCGGATCGTGACGTGCAGTGTTTCCTTCTGTTTTAATGTTGAAAGTCTTGGTTGACAAAATCAGGTCAGATTACTGACACTTTTTGCCCCCCTGACCGCAATGGGCTCATTCCAAAACAAACCAGTTACTCTCACTAATTCACTGGTTGGCTAGAGGTTTCCTGTTAAGTATGAATTAACATACGCAATGAAACCATAATTAAGATCAATTTAATCTACATTTTAGGCATAACTGCTGTAATATTTATGTTTTTTTTATGTTTATATTGTGTATCTTTCAGGCTCTGGCCAGGAACGTACTGCGTGTGAAAACACTGTACATGGCTATCATGTCGACTCTGCAGTACATCAAAAGCTGCTTCCAGTGGGAGAGCGTTCAGAGGAGCCTGCTGGCCTTCCTGGTGAAGTGCTTTAACTGCTTATCAACACACTATCTGCATTTCCCTCTGTTTTCCCTCCAAGCTGCGGAAGACAACCGCAGTCTGGCCAGCCCCTACTTGAACTCTCCCAGCAAGAATCTTAATCAATGCGGCGTTGGGCTCAGCAGAAAGGCAGGCTTGGCCCTGGCTCCTTGCTGGAGTGGACGCTTTCGGTGCTGCATGTCTCGTAGATGCAGAGTTAAGCCTCAGCTGGAGAGAGTAGAGTCCCAGTGGAGTCGAGATAGAGTCTATTTTTGTTCTACTTCCCTGACAACTCATTAACCCTCTGTCCAATCTGTGCTCGGTTTGATTTAGACCCCATTATGCAGACAGAAGTCCAATTAAAAGGCTCTTCAGAGATAAGACTTATTCTCCATCCTGCCATTGTTGCATACAAGTGTTAAGTAAATGTGTAGACAGAAACACAGGAGAAGCCTCTCAGCCCTTGTCTTTAAACTGCAAAGTGGAGTGGGTGCTGATCTTTTTGACATTATTCACCCCCAGATCGAGCTCGATTGAAATGGCATACAGCAAGTTGTGCATTAGCTATGCAGGCGATCAAGGTCATGGAAAGTTCCTTTTGTTTTTGCAGCTGATGACCTGTAGATGGCACTAAAGTTTTGCTCAGCATCCCAGGAATTCCTTCGGACACCAGTAAAGAGATACTGTACGCCACCAGCCAATAGTACAGTTTGTTCAATGTGCTGTGAAAAATGGGAGCTGCAGCACAGAGCTGTTATCTGAACAGAAGCCACTCTTAAGCTTTAAGGCGTGCATTTAGTTTTGAAAATTCAGGATCACTTAGACCTCTAGAAACCCATCCAAGAGGGGGTCAGGGGGCAGTGCACATAACTCAGAAGCTGCTTGCAATGAAAATATTTAATCCAGTAAATGCACAGGTACTCACAATGAAACACTACTTTTTGATAGAAAAAGGTTCTTAATAATGTAATTCTCCAGAATACCCAACCCCCCCGTTATTTATATTTATATTTATATATATATATATATATATAGTGTTTATTATTAGGAATAATATTGTTGTTTTGCCTGACAGCTCAGACACACACACTCAAGCACAAATCATAAAAGCATGAACAACGTACACACACATCCTCCCACTTCATCTCAGTGTTTGAAAGACAGTACCATCTGTACTCATGTTTTCACACTAACACTCAGCGCCTTTTCAAGCCTCAGTGAGAGGAAATAAATGCCTGCTTAATGCCGCCACACGAGAGTAATGAATCAAAGCTTCTCTCTGTATGACAGGACAGAGTGACGAACCACCTGCCGACTGTCAGACACCTTCGTGCGGCTTTGCACTTGCTGTTTAACTTTTCTCTTTTTTATGACTTGCAATTTTTATTTTGAAATATAATCAGTACTGTAAATCAGAGAAAAACGATAAAGCCTATTTTCAAACAGAACTTCCCCAGTTTCCCATTTCCACCCCACCCAAATGCAGAAACAAAAGGGGTTACCAGAAATCAAAGTGGTTTGCTTAGAAATGAAGCGAGAAGGAAAAGAAAAACAATTCTGATAGAAGGTACAAAAGCATAACGCCCACATAAAATCAATGTCATCAGTGTGCTTCCAGCTCCTCAATTAACTTTACAAAAGAAATATATATGTACCACATTGTTTTTTCTTTCATGTTACATATGACATTGTTGTCATATGCAGCAACTTCTCTGAACTCTTTCATCTACACCTTAAAGGAAGCTCCTGAGAATAATTAGCTAGCAGTGAATCATTTTGGACAGAGAAATATATATATACATGTTCTTCCTCTTGCGCTACCTTTTAGCATTTAGCATTATCCCATAATTGTTTCTTGTGGCCACAGTAGCTGCTGTTTAGCAAGAGTTACACAGTCTTTTCTTTAAAACAATGAATGGAGTAAATGATGTCAGTGATTTCTCTGCTCTTGGATTACTGCTGTGCCATGCAAAGCCTTCTCTGAGCATTAGTGTGGAAATCCTGCTGCATTCTGTTCTCCAGTTCAGTAGCTCTCCTAACATTAGGTAGCCTTTCATTTTTTTTCCCCCTCTGTGATCTGGATTATATTTCCAGAGCCCTTTTTGCTGTTGAAGACTGTGTAATGCCTCTCAAGCTGAAATGGGCTGCAATTATCACAATCTTTATGGCCTGAGTATACATTTCCACCAAAGCGTGACTTGGCTTTCCCCCTGTCCCGGCTCTCCCAGTCATTACAAAGTCCTCACTAATAAAACATAACCCTTTCAGTGAGGAATTGGTTTCATCTCCTCTCCCAGGCCCTGTTTTGGCTTGTGATAACACAGACAAGAGCATGCTTGGCTTTTTGCACATTAAAGCTGATGGTGGTAGCGGTGGTAGTGGTGGGAGGAAGGTGGGGGGAGGGAGATCTGTCATCTTTTATGTCAGTTGGTGCCTCAGAGGAGAGTGATGTCTTTACCAGATGTTCACTTCTATTTTTATTAGCATATAAAAACCTGTAAACCCTTCCCCACGCCTCATGGCTCGCTGCCATTTTGGCCGGCACTGCCTCACTGACAGGATTATTTTATAGTTCCATTTAGCCGTGCAATTGAGACATCACAAGCCATATTTCTTTATCCTCTTATCCATTTTACCTGAGCCACGCACAGGTGGAATGTGCATCACAAGTGCCATTATGGATGTTAATGACATATTAACACACGGGCTCCCTGTGGCTGCAGTGAATTGCGTGGCCGGCTTTAATGTACGCAAGATGAGAGAGGCAGAGCAATTAGACTTGCGTGGTTAATGTCAATGCATATGCAGGGGGTGGAGGGAGAGTCAGTCCAGCTGAGCAGAGTGGTCGCCCTGCACAGCGTATGCAGAATAACTGTACGTAGGAAGCAAGGCTTTGATAGTGGCAGGGTAGCCTTCATCAGCTTGACCAGTGCTTATGTAATCAATAGCAGATCGGATCAACCTTTAGCTAGCGGGGATTCAGGAACTATTGAGAATGTCTTTGGATGTGACTTAATGAAGAGCACTTTGTTTTATCCTTCCAACCCCCCTTGTGTCTGCCCTTACTGATATCTGACCTCTGTGGCCCTCTGCCTGCAGGTGTTTTTGGTGACAGTGTGGTGCTGGCAGTTTTACATGCTGCCCTTCTTCCTGGCCCTGCTCATCTCTTGGAACTACCTCCAGATCCGCTCTGGTCGCGTCAGTCAGGACCTGGTGAGTCCAGAACAGCTTTGTTCATCTTCCATGTTCTCCTCCCTCAGCCCAGTGACCTGCTGGGCTGAGGGAGTGGAATAAAGACACAGCTACCTCAACCACATTATGTTCTCATAATTAAATGCTGGTTTGTTTCCATAGCAACCAGCTGCACCTAACCACACGATACATAATAATGAAATAACACATAATAAATAAGCATAGAAAACTCACTGAATAGACTAATGCAACATATCATTATAGTCTAAGCTAATTTGCAGTGCTTGTCCCTTTACTAACGCTGCTTCTAGTTATTGTCCTGAATCCTGCCTCTTCTTCACTGTAATTGGTCTGTTGCCCTCTTCTTGTTGTGACTGGTCAAATTAGAAAAAGTTTTCAGGCCTCCGCTCTGAAAAGGTCACAATTCACAGTGCTTTTTCCCCCCGCTGTGACCACTCTTAGTTTCACAGAAAAAAGGATGTTGTATCTTGTCTGTGCTCAGTGTGGAGGAGCAGCTGTATTTACTGAATACAGTATGCTAGTTTAATACAGACTATAGGTTATAGCAAATTACATACACAGAGCACCCATCAGACAACAATGTACTTTATTATATTGTTAAATCAGTGAAATCTGTGCTGATTTTCAACCATGCAAGGCTGCATCATTTTCATTATTGACTAATCTGTCCATTATTTTTTCCATTAGTCAGTATTAAATTTACAATGATTTGAAATAATGGTGAATAACTTTAACAACTGATCAATTATCAAAATAGCTGTTTAATTTCAATCAACTAAACGATTAATTGACTGATCGTTTCAGCTCAACAACCGTGTTAATGAATATACTCTATATATGTATACTATCCCATTATGTGACACTGAAATGATTAAGGTAATGGGATAATAAAACTTAATGCTAAGTGAGGATTTATAAAGTAAATGATAAAAATCAGTTCATAGAAACCTGAAGTATTCTGAGTATTCAGACACACACTCTCCTGCCATACTCACGTGCCAGACACTGTTTTCAAATTTGAAATTGCTTTACTTTCTTAATTATTGTCTTTGATTTGGTTGCGGCTGCCCCTTGGAATTCTGGGTAACTTCTAATACGGCATGTATTACAAGAAGTAATCACATGACCCACTGTTCATAGAAAAATATTTGTTACTGCCACTTATTCACACATACACACACATATTCTGTGATATAGATAGGTTACAACTGTGAGCTGCCATGGCTTATTGTGGAAAAGAAGCCTACTATGGCCTGTCAGTCAGCTGCTGTCCTGCAGTGCTGAGTGTTTTTTGAAGGCTGACCTCAGGGTCACCACTGATCCCTGCACTTTGTCATATGATGACCCCACAAGCAAGCTGGAGTTAATACAGAGTCCCTCTGTCAAAATCCGACAATGTTCCTAATATATAAACTCTTGGAATCACTTGAATCTCACCGTTCTTTTTTTTTTTTTTCAGAACAATATGGACTTGGGGGATGAGGATGAGGATGATGAGAAGGTATGTAGCTACCTGTGATGATTGTTTTTTTTTTTTTCGTTCTTTGTTGGCTAAGAATCTGTATTTCTATATGCTGATGAATAGAGAAGAAGTTAGCTTTGTTTCTTAATGTTGACAGAGGTGTCTGCCTGTGATCTATGATTTTATGTTAAGCTCTTTATTCAGTACTAAATCTTCTGATGCATTTTGATTCCTGCCAAACGCTTGTTGTATTTTTTTGTAAACTTGTGCTTACCAAAAGACATTTGGGCTTAATCAAGACCTCACCAACCCGTTTCCACATGTCACAACACATTCATATGCTAATAGAGGGGCGGGGGAAGAGGTTCTGCTGCATTTGGGAAAGTCCCTGAGCTTAACACACCATATAATACCATCAATATGGAACTAATGACAGCACTTAGACATGCTTTTTCAAAGCTTATTTTGAAAGTTCGTGTTGAAAGTGTTACAATGCTTTTAGGCAATGAAATATTTCTTCAGAATGACAGCAGTTTAATGTAGATTATAGACGTTGTGAATGGCCTGCGTCAACCTGATGTAAAGTGGTTCTCATACTGGTTCCAGTGGGAACATGACCCTGAACTGGCTGAAGTGTTTTAGTGCATAATGGATATGTGACTGAGGTCAAAGTAAATTGTCTCACATGTGGTTTTTGAGACTTATAGTCACTGTGCATCTGGAATATCCCGGGTTTGATCCCCTCCACGGCTCTTTTCCCAGGCTTGTCCCCAACGTCTGGACGGCATCGAGCCAGCAATCACTCAGTGTTTCCGAGCGGAAGCAAACGTATATCACAGAGATCACATAGTGACTTTGGCCAGTAAACTGTCCCCCAGTAACCACCGCCGCCACCCCACAGAACATCCTCACAGACCCCAGCTCCTCTCTTTAGTCCTCTAACCCTCCTTGGGTCTCCCTGTGTTTGATGTGGACATGTGGCCATGTCTCTGTCTGAAGTCTGGCGCTAGATCTTCAGAGTCTGGTCTCCTCTGTTTACTTTAAAGCCATCCTTCCCTCAAGGGATCTGGACTAGCTTGAGAACGCTACCTCTTCTCTTTCATAATGTGAAGTCCAGTCCCACTCTGAAGAGCTTTCACTTCAAGCCATCATCAAACGTGTATATGCCTGGTGTCTCTCTCAGAGACACTTATATAGATATTATTATAATGTCTTATAGGGATCAAACCTGTGTCCTTGAGAATGTCTGATATAAAACCTCTGTTATTGTATAGTTTAGCTGACACATTTTTTAAAAGACTTTTTAGGGTACAAACTAAACTCTACATATTTTTGATATTCAGATTTCATCCTCTTCAGAATTAATTAATCAGTGTAATAAATGTCCTTTTTTAATTTAACCAGGAAGTATTTTGTAATATAGTATCTCATTTACAACACGTACAGCACAATCAGCTGTGAACAAAATACCTTTATAAAATGACATTTAATGTGAGGTAACAAAAGTTGTATAAAGATGTATTAGAGTTTCACCTCCTTTTCAAACACACATTTAGTCTGTATTATTTGGTACTGATAGTACTTTGAAGAGTTAAGAGTAATTTAATGAGCTGCATGTCTTAAAATCTGTCACTAGCTATTATAGCAGTAACCTTTTTCCACCAGGACAAAACTTTTATTGAAATTTTAATACAATAGGCTGATGAGAATGAATTGCTTTCTGCTAGTGCATAGCAAAATAGCAAATAAGATAAGTTAAAACATCCTGGACTGTATGGATTCTTCTTTCCATCTTGTTTGTTTTGTCTTTGTAGGAGTCAGAGAAAAAAGGGCTGATGGAGAAAATCCACATGATCCAAGAAACCATCATCACCCTTCAAAACCTGCTGGATGAGATTGCCTCTTTTGGGGAGAGGATTAAAAAGTGAGAATTAAACATCCATTGTAAATTACAGCTCACTACAGCTGAGTGTTTATTTGTATTTCAGGTAGAGGGGTCTCTAAAATGTTCTGAATATTTTTAACACATTTTTTTTAAATTGCCCTGTCCTTTAATTATCCAGTATACCAGTCTGCATCAGAGGGGCCTCAGTTACATTTAAGGACTGCATTTTATGTCCAACCAGGGATCTGTAAATTAAGTTCAAAATAAAATTATTCACTGATGTTTTTGATCTTATTTCTTCAGCACTTTCAACTGGTCGGTGCCGTTCCTGTCCGGCTTGGCTTTACTGATCTTCGTCACTGCAGCAATGCTTACATACTACATCCCTGTGCGCTACATAGTTTTGATATGGGGTGAGTCTCAAACACTGTTTATTATGTCATCTGCTTTGTGTTTGTGTCTGTTTGCCTCCATTTTTAGCAGAGTGCTTCATCACTGTATAAAACCCCTGTCCACCAACTATTCTACTATTTTTATTTCCCTGGGATCTTTCTATTATCCATGAGATTTACAAGGTAGCAGGAGTGTTTGCTCCCATATTTTCTGGCTGCTGTGACTTCCCCTGTATCTCTGTAACATTAGCTGCTTATAATGTCAGTGATGTATGAATTGAAGCGTATATTATTGTAAAGATTATTATCTGAATGGATACAGTGTAAAATGTTGCAACTCTTCCAACCCTAAAAAGTGAAAGTAAAACAGCAAAAAGCCACATATACTGTAGTACCCGGAGCAATGTTTCTTGGACAGCATGCGTCTCCTCTGCAGTTATTTGTTTGTGTGGAAACAAAGAGCGCAGCCACAAGAGACTACTGTTAATGATATGTTGGTGTGAATTTCTGTTTTAGGTATCAATAAATTCACCAAGAAATTACGGAACCCGTACAGCATTGACAACAATGAGGTGCTTGATTTCCTGACGAGGGTGCCTTCAGATGTGCAGAAAGTAAGCCCCACTGGATCAGCCGGCCAGGAAGCCAGAAATCCCAGAGCCCGCTAGCTTTGCATTTTACTAAAACAACTCCCAGGCATTCACCACTCTTGTCTGTATAATTAGATTCATCTGTATAATTATGTAGCCCTGTATAATTTCTGTTGTGTTTTGGTCATGATACATCCCTGGTGGAGGTCTGCTGCTTAGCAGCTTTGCAGCGCAGGCTGTTCCCAGGCTGAGACAGGAGACGCTGCTGCTGGTGTCTCCTGTATGAACTCACCAGCCTCCGCAAGAGCAAAATATCAGTCAGCTCGCTGTATCTCCTCCAACTCACATCCACCAGAATAAGTTATTGAATTTAGCTGGTTTTGTAGAATAATTTAAATAACTTTGAATAATCACACTTTTTCTACAAAGGTCTTTATCAGGGTTACAGGATTTTGCATTGATGGTCCAAAATGGCCACATCATGCCCATAAACCAGATATTCATTACATTCATACATTTTTAAGTATGAACTATTCACAAGAAATTGATTAGTTTTCTCTTTTTTTCCAGTCTCTCCTCTTCCATTTGTGTTCTGCTGTGCTGACCTCTCGTCTTCCTTTATTTTACTCTCCTTCTTTCTTTTAACTTGCCGTCGCCTCTCATCCTCACCCTCTCTGTCCTTTTCTCTCTAAGCTGTTTGACCCCATTTGCCTCCTTCCTCTCCTTCTCCGATGCCCTTGGGCCACTGAGTGTAGTGACGGCAACTCTCTCTGGTTTCTCCGCTGACCATTGTTATTCTGTCTATACGACGACTATGGTCATCCTGCTCAGTAGTGGTAGTATTTGGTAAAAATGCAATTTGATTTGCAATAGGAACTTAGTAGAAGTACTACAAGATAGACAAAAAGTAATGCATTAGTTATAAAAAATTGTAGCTTCATTCTTTTGTTTCTCTGTGAATAAAGTGGCTCTGGTTCTCATTTCCTGCAGGTTCAGTACAGTGAAATGAGAGGCAGCAAGAAGAAGAAAACCTCATAGAACGAGGATAGTATGTCAGCGGGACCTGATGTTGCTGTTTGTGGGCTTCCTTCCTAAAAACTGTTCCCAGACAATCTGCAGAATCTCACCTTTTGTCGGTTTTGCGGTGCGTGGTAGGTTTGAATCTTAATTTGCTGTGTTGATGCACAGCTCAGCACCACTCATTTCAACCAGCACCTAAACCTTTTAACCAAAGAAGTCTCTGCAGAGAATTACTACATTTTGTAACAGATTTTACTAATGAGTCTATCTGTGCATTTCTGGAACAATTTGTAATATTATTTCCAAAGATTGTAGGTGTTTTATTGTATGTACAGTTTATGTTTTAATATAATCAATCAGAAGCTGCTTTATTTTATATTCCTGGCTCAGGTTATGTCCTCCTGAAACCAGCTGAAATCTAATTTTGTACTTTACTAAATGTATATGTTTAGTATGTAACATTTGTGTGTATATTTTTACACAATTTCCATTGACAGATGTGAAGACTTTAATTCCAAAATGGATTATATACCATTTGAAAATAACAAACCAAAATTGTTGCTGGGGTGATAGTAAATTTCATTATAAGGGTAACTTTCAAAAATCAGAGTCGTCATCTTAGAAAATTGCTATATTATTTAGATCTTTGTGATTATAAGTATTAATGATTAATGAAGTACTTTTCCATATGTCGATACACAGCAACATATCATAAGTAAGAAGCAAATATTATGCATGATCCGTTGTTTCTTACATTTACCTTTGAAAAAGGATAAAGAGGTATGTGCTAACAATATTGACTGACTACTCTCACTTTAACGTGACAATATGGACTTGTTATTACATGCAAAGATGAGTGCCTACATTTTAGGTTTTATTTTATTTTTTTGTTCATCCTACATACAGGTTGCACTGTTGCTCTATGTTGTATTTCAGTCTTTGCTTGTGGGTGGGATGGGGCCAGATCTGTACACACAACTTTATTTATAAATGACAATCAAAGATGAAAACTTTGTATCTCTCATATCTAACAGCAATAAATGCACACAGTCACGCACATTTATATGCTCTGTGCTGCGTCTCTTTGAATTCCCCTGCATGCCGTATTCTTCCTCTCTGTGCTCCCGTGCTGCAGGATTGTGGGCGTCTTAACAGCACGGTTGCTGAGCCCCCTCTCTTCATTAGGCTTTCATGAAGTGAGGCGAGGCTGTGTGAGACCTCGCCGGCACCCGAGCTCCCCGCTGTGTTGATGGCCCTTGGGCGTCGCCACAAGCAGGAGGACCTCGCCGACCTCCTCTCAGCTGCTCTGACGAGATGCCTGCAGCCAGCAGCCTATCAAGCACAGCAGCCAGACAAACCTCCGGTACTGGGCTGCACACCGCTCACAGGAGCAGGAGGAGGATTTTAAAACCAGCCACAAGCAACAACAGCCGCGCCAATTTAGGGATTGGAGAATCGGAGTAGTTAAGATGTTGGCGTTCAAAGTAATACCCTGGGATTTATGGCTTTTAAGTCAGAGCGCGTGGGCTCTCAGTCAGCAGCCTCTTAAATGAGAAATGAGTAAAATTAGAGGAAAACTGCTCTTGATCAAATGCAATAAGAATCCCACAATTTTTGCATCAAATGCTGTACAAATGTATTGCACATTAACATATTTCATGATTGAACTGGTTAGTTACTTAAGATGTCAGCATTTTGAGTAAAATAATTTCTATTATTAAAGCTAATACTGGATTGTTTGAGAAATGCATGAAATAACACCTCATCTGGAGAAATAAACTAAATGTACTTAAACAGCTCAGTGCAATATACACATAATATGCTCCACAATGCTACTCCATACACAATAATTTGATGATTTGTCCAATTGTCTTGAGAACAGGGGATGTGGAGACTGTGGCAGACGATGACCTGTATATCTCTTCATCTAGTTATAATGTTGACTTAGGTATCAATATTAATAACCCGCTGTCAAGGACACTGGAAGGACATCTCAATTTGACACTTATAGGCTCAGCATGAATATGTATAGGCGGCGAGACCCTTCAAAATTACCAAGTAAAATCATGGTTCACACGTGGGGACTAATGTGATGTGGCACATGCATTCTGATGAGCCACAAATACAGCGGGCTGATCGGTCTCAAAAGACTTGTTATAACTCAATATCAGACATGAGAATGTTCAGCTGTGTGTGTGTGTGTGTGTGTGTGTGTGAGTGGGTGTGTGTCTGTGTATGTGTGTGCAGACAGAGGAACTGCATATAAAGCTCTGTAGAGGGTGTGAATGTCTATTATTATCCATTAACAACCTTTATTAACGCATTAATAACTATATCCAGCATGGACCATTTATGTCCGTGTGGAGACGAGATGGAGGGGTCTAATGGGCAACGCCGTGTTTATCTGGTTCCCAACATAAAATATTGCCAGTTAGCAAACTGCAGAGCAGCAGGAAGGTGTTTTCACACCGACAGCAAGCCCGGTTGGTTGGTTGGTTTGTATCTCACTGTCTCCATTTCTATGACACTTCACCTTCAAAATCTGGCTGCTGGTGGAAACTGGGCATTGAATTATAAGTGTGATTATATACTAATTTTCATGTAAAAAATTAGTATAGAGCATGGCTTAAAAGCATAAATATGATTAACCTTCACACTGAAAGCTGAATTGTTCTAATCAAAACACTGTTTGGATTATTTTGAGCAGTACAGTGCGGTTTTCAATCACTTGCTGAGTGGTCGGATCATATCTGTTCACTCTGTCCATTATGTATTTCTGTTTCCAAACATCACCACTCTTCATCGGAGATGTATAATTATCATCAAATTGTCCTGATAATGAGAATCATTATCATTACCCTCATTGCTGTTAACCTCTCGCTAGCAACTGTTAAACTGCTAATGTGTTTTAATAAAGTAGGTCTTTTTTTAAACTGCATGTTTGGAATGAGAGTTATCTCCTCTCACTCTCAGCAAGAATGAAGCAAATTAGAATATTTCTCAAAATGGCTGACTATTACTTAGTCAACTGAATGTGTTGTGTGCAGTCCTACAGCACCAGTTGTTGTTTCAGCTTATCTGTGATCAACCATTGTGTCACAAGTTTCCATTTTTTAAAATGTCATAATTGTGTTATCCTCGTTCAACAACAATCATTTCTCTCAATAATGAGCTTGATTTTGACCATGTGGACCCCCCACCACCACCACTGCCACCACTCCCCATAGTGTTAACAATCCTTCAGGGAGTCTGGGTCCAGGTAAATCACAGGAACAGTGTGTACTAACTGGGATGCTGCCCAGAGGCTGTGGGGCGGCTGAGTTGTCCCGGAGCAGGCCGACATCAAAGCCCTTGATCCAGAAGAGCCTGAGGCTACCAACAGTGGACTGCTCTGATTGACAGAGGAGATGCAAAATGATGTTGTGAGAGAGAGCAACACACTCATATTAAGTTGTCCTTTTGTGGTGTTTTGTTTTACTATCTCTTTAAATCAACAGCACTAGAATGTTGTAGTTGTGTAAACCTATAGAAAAGCTAAATAAAATGTTTTGTTGTTAAACAAGCTGAGCTCTGTAATCTGTAGCAAACCCAAACTACTCGAACGAGTGAAATGAAGTGCATTCTTTTGGGAATAGTTTCAGTTGTGCATAATTATGCATTTGGTCCTCTAGTGCAATGGTTGATAATATAATGTGTTAATTTGCAATAATAAGCTGTGTATATTGCTACAATATGTGTAATTCAATTGAATCCATTGGTTGAGTCAGAAGGATTCAACTACCACTGAGAGCAGCCGTTGCTGGAAGTTTCAACCATTTATCCATTGCTGTTAGCTAATTATTTGTGTGTCTATATTCCCGGGGTCCTAAATTCCCTGACCCTCAACCCTAGAACATAGGACCCTGGGAACAATGGGAATGACCCCCTAATTAACCATTTATCTAAGCTATTACTTTTAGGTAAGTATTTCAACCATTTATCTATTACTTTAAGCTGACTGTACATTTCTCTGCTTGCTAATAGCGTCACACACTTTTGCAGTTGCAATATGTGATGTTCAGGTGTAATAGCTGACCCTATATGTGGATTACCTAATATATATATATTTTCTATGAAATAATTATTTTGTCAACTCACTTGAACTACTCCTAATATTTGCACATATCCCCTGGGAACTGCAGAAGTATACAGATATCCCTATCTGGGAGTCACTGATGTAGTGTCCATAGCAGCTGGACTGTGTATGTGAGATTGACTTAAAATAAACTATAGGATCTATATTAATGGTAATGACTTTATTATGAAATGAATTAATGCTGAACAATAACGAAGCTGACACAGATGTTTTTGGATGCACAGACTTTACTACTACTACTACCCTACTTTTTGGTAGGATCAATTCATTGTTGGTTTTGGTCTCTTCATGGGATTTGTTAACAATAAGAAATGTATAGAATAGGTTTCACATATTCATTAACGTAATCCTAGACTCTACTGCTTATTAACGAAGGTCAGAACAGTTTTCCTAAATGATGACTTTGGATCAGAAGCATTGTTTTTAGCAGCCGTAGAACATGTTGATCCTCATGTTGTCCCAGTAGGACATGCCCTGCCTCTGGCTGATTTGACGTTTGGTGTGGAAGCGGGATGATCAAGTCGCTTCCCGTACTGGGATGGAGAAAGGCTGTTCTTCCATCTGTCCCTGTTGTTAGAAGTAGTCGGGTTAGGGAGTGTTTCAGGCTTTGTTGGTGACTGCTTTGTAGCAGTTGTAGTACCATCTGCCAGATGATGTTCTCCCAGTTGATCCTGGACGTAGGGTCGCGAGTCCTCCTGGTCTGCCCGTGCTGGAAGCCCAGATTGCGGTGGTTGATCTGGGGCTGGATGAATTGCTGTGGTAGAGCAGCCCCGTCTGTGCACGAGGAGAGGCAGATGTCGCTCCCCTCGGCCCAGAGGGAGGAGAAAACATCCAACTTTGTCTTGACGCCTGAGTTTAGTCATTATTCGTTCTGGACTG